CCAACTTGAGGTGGCAGACAAGAACCTGACATTGGAGGGGAGAAATGAAGTCACGGATAAGCCCCTCCTGCCACAGAATGGGCAGGCCAGCTGCCTCTGGTTAAAAATGGAAGCAAAGGTGCATCAAGCTGGCAGACGGCCCCCACCATCCTTGCTGCCTGCCCCCACCTCCTGCGACTCCCAGCCTCACCCAGATCATCCCAAGGTGCTTAGGTCTAAGGCAAGGTGACCAACAAAAGAAAAACAGTCCCAGTTAAACTGGGACTAGATGGTCATCCACGTGATGATGGCTGACACATGTGGACTACATCTCTCAGAGTGGCTGCCTGTTTTAAGGGCTGAGGGTTGCAAAGTCTCCCTGGCATCCTTTGGGTTATCTTAAGCCTCTGACTTCAGGGTGAAGCCTGGGTAGGGGCAGGGGAGGGTGGTGCATGGGAAGGCAGTGGTTGGGCAACCAGAGCACTGAGGCAATCCACGCTTCCACCAGCCACCTCCCCAACTGCAACCCTGAATCCATGCTTCTTGCAGGCCTGTGACAGCCACTCACACTGCCCAACGCTGACCAGCCATGCTGTCCCCCAGAGCTCTCTCCTTCCCAGACCCTGGTATCAACCAAGTAGAAAAAAAAGGTAAGACTGAGGTTGTGGCAACTGGGTTGGTTACCTCCCAACAGCCATCCTCACTAATGGAACCTTGATTTCGTTCAGATCTTGGATAACTGAGCTGCCTGGCCGCAGGGACTGAGTTGTGGCAATTGATTTCCTCTTTGTTCATGATCGGTTTAGGATAGGCAAGCAACACAGTGTACCCAAAGGAATATCAAAGAAAATCTGCTGGGGGAGATTCTGGAAAAGGAATTCCTCTCTGATGAAAAGGAGGCTTGCAAGGAAAGGTCTGTCACCTCCTTCCGACTTTGGAAGTCATTGAGGGAGGGCACTATCCTCCATCTCCCTCCGCCATCATCATGTGACCACGGTGGGGGCGGGGGAGTGAGGGAAGGAGAAAAGAGGATCGCCGAGCTATCAACCCAGAGCCTTCTCATTGTGGAGTTACTGAACCCAAACATCTCCTTCAGATATCTTACTGTGTGGGAAAAAAAAAAAGACTTTTCAGAGAAGTCAGCTTACCGGGCATCCCCCGGCTTGCCGCTGAAAGCTCCTGACAGAGGAGAAAGCTCGAAGCCCCGAAGCAGAGAGGACCAGGAGGAGATAGCCTCTGACCCCGTCTGCACCCGGACCGCAGCACACCAGTCTAACCCCACCCGGGCGTGTGCACCTGAGCTCTCCAAGACAGAAATGCATGCGCTTCCTGCCTCTCCCCCCAGCGCCGCATCGTCCTCCCTCCAGGATATGCCTCACCCCTGGATCTGGAGGGCCTTGGGGCCACCCCCTGGGACCTTCCAAGGAAGGGGGCCAGCTCACTACTCCAAGTCCTTTCCTTTGGTGTGGGGAGATGGAGAGGGAGCTCTGCGGTCCTGCTCAGGCAAGTCACTTAACCCCTCTGTGCCTCAGGTTCTTTGTCTGTCATGGGCATAATAGTGCCTAGCTCACAAGGTTATTGTGGGGATAATAAGGGTGAAATGTCAAGTGCCTCTGACACTGGGTCATGGGTCCCCAAGACCACCACCAAGTTCTCAGCGACAGAAAAGTTGTTATGCACCCGATGACCGTTTGCTTCAGCTAACAGATGCGGAGGAAGATCAGCAAAGGCGGAGGAGCACAGAATGGAGTCCGGGAGTGACCAGATGCCAGCTTCCAGCTGTCCTCTCCCGGGGAGCTGTAGGGACAATGCTTGGTTTCCCAGCGATGACGTGTGACCACATGTATGAAGTACTGTGGGCCAGAGAACCGCTGCTGAGTCCTCAGGTCCAGGGTTTTTCTTGGTGGTGGATCACGAGGCACAGAGCCTCTGCAGCTGACCTTAGTCGCCCAGTCTCTAGCCCCCACGAGGGCAAACTGATACAGCCTGGCCCAGGGTCCTCACCATAAATCTCTTGTTAACATAAATTAGCTGGTGTGGCCCAGTGCCGAAGTAAACAAAGACACCCTTATCAGGTGGCATATCGCAAAGGCTTAGAGGTTATCTCCCAGGAGTCAGTCAGGGGCCAGAAATTTATTTGAAATGTGCAAGATTTGGACATCCCACACCTGATGAGTCAACCCTTTACTGCACAGACACTTAAGAAGCACCCAGTGTTTTTTTTCTTACAGAAGGCTGAAATCTGCCTCCCTCTAGTATCCATCCTTTGTTGCAAATATTACCTTATTGAATTATGTGGCTTCCTTTTCCCAGCCCTTTTTCCTAATGGGGGGTGGGAGCCCTTATTTCCCATTCTTCTTTCATCGTGGAGGCACTTCTACTCTAGCTTTCCTGGGCTGGCTTCCCCTCACTCACTCCCTTCCCCAGGAAAGCAAGTGACTTTCTGCTCAGTGGATTTGGGAGGAAGATCAGTCCTTGCACACAGCTCATCCCTTCCTCTCTCTTGAGCTGTCCCTGATAGTGAGGTCACACTACCTGGCTTATGGATGCAGCTGTCCACCTGCCAGCAGCTGTGCCTGAGAGCACATCAGGTTCAAGGGTGAGGTCTCAGCAAGCCCACATGGCTCACAGACCCTAAAACACCTTTTCAAGCAGCTTGATCAGCAATACAGGTGGTATTTTATTCCCATTTGCCTGGCTCCTGTGTCTATCCTTCAGCTGGGTCCTAATGGAGGCACCGAAAAAAGAAGTGACACGTATTAGCCCCATGAGCCCCAAATATGACCAGGTCTTCCAGTTTTGGAAGGTCATGATCGGTTCTCCCCTCAAACATCTGCTGCCAAGGTCTCAGGTCCTCTCATCATGCCCCCTTCTCAGGATTCCCTGGCTTGCCCCCTCCTCTGGGCACAGTCCAGGCTGTCTAGGACCCTCCAAAATGCTGGGCCAGAGCTAAGCACAGACCACCCCAGGTGCAGCCTCAGGGGTACCAATCAGAGCGCAGCATCTCTTGATTTCTTCACAGAATTCCCATGATCGTTGTTTCTGAGCAGTTGTATTCCATGTCCAACCTTTCCTTTTGTAGTTCTTACCCTAGCCTTCTCGGCTCTTCTGTCCGCTTTCACTGTCAGGCTGTTGTATTTCACTTTTCTTTGCTGCCTTTGTGCATCTCTGCTTCCTCTCCATTTAGTCTGCACACTGGCCAGTCAGACGGACAGAGCTTATTGGGGCCCTGAGGGGTGGAGACCTAGGAGCTTAGCGCACTGATGATGCAATACCTCTAAGTTGGGGCTATAAAGCAGTGGCACTGAGTTGTCCTCTCCATCTATAGGCTCGAATCCTTTTCCATATGAATTAGCATTCAATTCAGTTTCCTCTGCATATGGCACTTGATTTTTTTCAACCTCTTCTTGTAGTTGCTCAGTCAAGTTCTCCTTCTCAGGTACCTTTGTAAACACAGAGAGGCGTCCTTGCAAGGTGTAAAGGTATAGGAATTCCCCCCACAAAACAATTCTTCTTCTGAGAGCTTGCCTCTCCCATTTCAGTACACTCGTATATTTATCTACTCAAGAAGTATTCAGCAGATATTCATAAGGCTTCCAAAAACACTACAGAAGTGGTTAAGAGCACAGCCTGTGAGTTTAGACATTTCTAGGTTTAAATCTCAACTTCACTGTTTACCAGCTGTGTGGCCTCGGGCAAGTTCATTCAGCCTCTCTGAGCTTTGGTTTCCTCGGAACCCTAAAGTGAAGGTTTTAATAGTATCTTCCATAAAAGGGCCAAGCCTGGTGCCTAGAATATATCATACTCTTGACAACTATAAGCTACTACTACTAGTAGTAATATTACTAGTATTCACAGTATTATCATTTCAGCCAGACCTCACCAAGTAGAAAGTGCCTGCAACTGGAACAGGAACGCGGCCCTTCAGTGTAGATGGTCATGGATGGATATTGCAATTAACAATGGGTTACAGGTCCATCTGTGAAATTCAGTTTGGGGGTTCCAGGTGTTTGAATCTTGCTTGGAGAGAGTCTTTGAAAGGAAGAGGAGGGAGGATGTGACTGAACTCCACTGTCAGAGGGTGTGGCATAGGCTGTATGTCCCACGCTAGGAGGACAGAAGCCTGACTCCGCTTAGGTGCCTCTCTGCTCCTTGCTTCTGCTATTTAGGGAGAATCCCTGCAGCATGGCAGTGTTTGAGGGGGGGCGGTCAGAAAGAGGGTATGTGACTTGATGAAACAGTAAGGCTCATTGGGAATAAAAGGCACAATAACAGCTGAGGAACCCCCAAGTCATCAATGTGACATTCTCAACCCTCCAGCACAGGTCCATGAACTGCCACCTGATGTGGCTCCAAAGAGGCAACAAGATGGCAAATGAGCACAGGTGGCCTATACTTGAACCACGGTCCTGCCACTTTCTAGCATGGAGACCTTGGGGGGAAGGACTTGCCGTCCTGAGGTCAGCTTCCCCCATGCGGAAGGGGGAAATGATACCTCCTTTCAAAGGTGCCTGTGGAAGTAAGTGGGATGGTGTGTGACGCCACCTGACAAATGGCCTGAGGTGGTAACAGTTCCTGTGCCATGGGTCAAGCGTGAAACTCAGTGCCACTGCTTAGTAGCCCCAACTTAGAGGTGCTGCATCGTCAGTATGCTAAGCTCCTAGGTCTGCACCCATCAGGGCCCCAGTAAGCTCTGTCCGTCTGACTGGCCAGTGTGCAGACTAAATGGAGAAGAAGCAGAGATGCACAAAGGCAGCAAAGAAAAGTGAGATACAACAGCCTGACAGTGAAAGCGGACAGAAGAGTCGAGAAGGCCGGGGTAAGAACTACAAAAGGAAAGTAATCTGAGGCCATTCAGTGCAGGGTGAACGATCAGCCCCTCTCAGGAGACCATGCATTAAGTGACAATCATGAGAGCTTTGAGTCATTAAAAGAAAGGTAAATCTGTTCAACACAGTTTAAGAAAATTAAAAACATACATATTATACATTTGAGCAATATCATTACAAACAGGAAAACCATTAACAGTGAAAGCCACAGGTGCCTGAAAGACTTAGAATTAGGGCATCCCCTTCCTTGATGACACGGGGTAAAAGGAGCTTCACCAAAACAACATACTGAGGCCTTTCACCTCCCAGAAAGGTGTTATTCAGTAGAAGGAAAGCAATGGAAATGGGGAAAGAGAAGCAAATGGGCAGGGACTTAGGTTTGTCCTTCCATTCAGAAATATCTGCTGTTTGGCTGCGCAGCTAGAAGTTTGGCCCTGACCTCAGTCCTCCTGGACCTTGGGGATGCTGGGAGCATCGTGGCTTCTGCCCAGCAGCGTGCTCTCCAGCCGCTTGCAGTGCTCTCGGAGCTGCTTCTCCTGGGGCAGCAGGAAGGTGAGGACCATGTTTCGCACGATACCCCAGTCCTCCTCCCTGAGCCGCTGCTTCACACACGCCGCCTGCTCCTCCTGCTGCGCCAGGGCCCCCTTCATCTCACAGAAGGCATCTTCCAGGTAATGGATGGCCTTCAACACCTCATTCTTAAAGTCCTCCAGCTCCCGTTGCACCCCAGCCACCTTCCATTGCAGCATCTCCAACTCAGCTGGAGGAGGGAGGCAGGTGGGCCATGACTGGGAGAGGGAAAAGTCTCCAGACTGGAGGCCACTGTCCACCATCCTCTTCCCTTGGAGGGTATTCATCTTCATGAGGTTGGACCCAGCCTGGTAGAGTGGTTCCATAGTCTCCCTTGCTATCTGGACAGAGAGGAAGCTAAGAGACCAGCCAAGTCAGTGAATTTTTTTGGCTAGAGACACAGTCATTTGGAGTGGAGAGGCCACACACACTGTGACGTCAGGGCCCCTTCAGCCAACCAGAGGACAGCACCAATCTACTCACTTGCATACAAGAGCCTCCTTGGTTGGTCCTCCAGGGCTTTGCTCATCCACCCGGGAACTATTTAGCTGTCATCCTGAGGTGTGGATTCTTCGCAATTCGTCATCACCCTTCCAGAAGCAGAGCTCAATCCCTCCTTTTATCTAAGGACAAACCAATGTCCAGAGAAATCAATGGGCAGAAACAGCAGGCCAGACCCGGCTCAGCAGCTGCCAAATGTGGGTGGCCTCCCACACTGGCAAGGGTCCTGGGTGGTCTCCAGATGGTTTCTCTGGGCTTCAGTACCTCACCAGTGAAACAGGACATTGTAAGAGATGATGCCTAATCCCACTTCAAGCTTTAAAGGCTAAAAAAAAAAAGTAATTTCTGAACCAAAACCCTTACTCTTACAATTGTGCCAGAATTCTAGATAATCTTCGTAGTTTCGAGGCAGATGCTCAGGTTTTGATGGCGCACAGCAGTGCTGATTCAGGGTGGGGGTGGGCAAATCAGGCCAGCCGTTTATTTACTCAGCAAGCACTTACAGAGGACTCACTGTGCGTCAGGATCAGGGGACAAGTGTGTCCCCATTCCCCACCCTGCCCCATCATGCCTGAATGTTGAAAAAGATGAGAAAAAAACATACAGGAGGGTGAATCTCACACTTCTTCCCTGATTACTATTAGAAGGGTAATGTTTCTAGCTGATCTACATTTGTTTTACGTGAGAGCAAACCTCTGTCCTGCAGATGGATCTCTTGCCCAGACTTCTCTCTTAACCTCCAAATGTAAATGTCTCTCCACCAAGGTGCCTCAATTCAATCCACCCAAAGCTAGGTTAGTCATCATTCCACCCAAACTGGCTCCTGTTCCAGTGCTGCTGTCAGGTTGATGGCACCACCCTGGGGTAGCTCCCTGGTCAGTAACCACATGAGAAACCTGGGGTTAACCTAGAATCCATCCAAGTGGCTCTGGGTGCTACTGACTCTACCGCCCCTGAGCACTCCAGCACCGAACCCCCCGGGCTGGGGTCTCAGCTCTGCTGCTGCTGAGCTGTGTCTCTTTGAAGTTTACCTTACTTCCCTGAGCTTCAGGTTCCTCAACCATAGAGGGTGGATATGAATTCAGTGGAGTGCAGCTCTCTGATTTATGGCTGTTGACAATTTCCATAGTGTAAATTCTCCCACCATAGATGACATGGTGTCTCTGGGAAGAGATGCACACGATGAGCCCTCGTGAGCTGTGCAAGCTGACCCCGGCACCACAGGACCTGTGATGGGTGCAGCTGCCTTCTCTGAGGTGCAGGCTGACCTATCTAGAGTGCCTTCAGTAGGCCCCAGAGAGGCCATTTGGCACAGAGGTTCATAGCTAAACTCAGGTGGGATTTTGAATCTCAAGATAGGACAGCAACTCCAATTATTGAGACAATGTAGAAAGAGCACTATTCTAGGAGTCAGGAGATCTGGAATTGCTGTGTGACCACAGGGCAGTCACCTCCCCTCTCTGAGCCTGTTCCCTTTGCTGTAATGTGACTAGGTGGGAGATGGCTCCTCTGAAGTCTCCAGCATTCTCAGGTCCACAGAGTCCTCCCTTTCAGCCTCTCCCAAGGCACTTGGCATCTTCTCCCTCTTTTTGTGACCTAAAACATTGCCCCTCCGGTCCCTGATGGCACACTACGTTCCATGAGGACAGGGACTGTGATCTCTCATCCTATGTACCCTCAAGTGTCCTGCCTCGTGCCCTGCACATAATGGCACTCAGAAAACTAGAGGAAATAGAATTTATACTCATAGGCGACTATCAAATCCCAAGGCTCCCTCAGCTTTCCCTCTGATGTGATGACACCTACTGGTCTAAGGGGGAACAACACTCTCTTCATTCTAAAACCCAGGTGGGGAGTGGAAGATGGTATGAATACATAGCCTGCGGTCTTGGGGTGTACCAGCTAGAGGTGTGTGAGGAGGTCAGGAACATAGGAGGTTCTCAATAAATATTTCTGGAATCAGCAAAAAGAAGACTGTGTCTCTGTCTTAACGGTTCTGCAATTATTTGTGTATTTTGCTCTCTTTCTCTGATTTTGTCTTCCTTTTTGCCTCTGTCTCCCACAGGGAATGGTGGAAGTCATAACCAGAGCTGTGAAAGAAAAGTAACAGAAGTTAAGACGGAATAGCAACCTCTCAGTGTCCTTGGGGCTTTGTAGTGAGGTCTCAGTGCATTCTCCTCAACTGGCCAGGCAGGACCGTATACCCACAGGTGGCTCGGCAGAGGTTGAGCACAAATGAGCTCTGTCAGCAGAAGACCCTGGGCTGGGTGGCCTCTTGGACCTCTGGGGAGTCCTCCACAGGGGCAGCTTGTGTGCACATGTCGGAACGTTCCCCTCAGGTTTTATAATCCAAGCCTGTACCTTCCTCACAAATTTCCTTCTACTTGTCCTAAGAAAGTAAGAAGGCAAATCTAGTGTTCCCTTCACGGAGTCAGGAGAGAGGGACTCCAACTTCTCCTGGCAAGGCGTGGGCCACTGGCAGGGACACTTCCCTGTCCCTCGGTTACCTCAGCAGTTCTGACACTCTCCATGTGTCAGGATACTGGGGGGACAGGGCAGGACATCCATCCCCAGAGGCCCAGACCCCACCCCTGAGAATCAGATGCAGCCTGCAGGGAAAGGGCTTCAGGAGTGGGCATGCTCTAGAGGGTCCAGGGTCGGGACTGCTGGTCAGAACACACCCTGCGGGCCCGCCTGCCTCTGAAGACAAAAACCACATGGCTTGGCAGCCCTCCCCAGCCCCTGCCATGTGTCGCCTCCCCGTGCCTCTGCCTCCACTTGTGAAATAAAACTTTAGGGTCAGGAAAAGGGACATGACACAGGAGCAGTCCTTCATGGAGCTCTTTAAATGAGGGGGACCCTTCTGAACTCTTCACATCCTGCCAGTGAGAACTACACCCACAGTCCCACTTAACTAGGCCCTGGCTGGGGGGAAGAATCTCCAAAGCTGGCTCAGACTCATCTCGGGTCCCCTCCTGGGGCTGGAGCTGGCATGGGCCTCCCGCAAGCAGAGGCTTCCCAATACAAGGACCAAACTGGGGTTCTGGTCGCACACAAGGAGAGTGCAGGCAGCCAACTGTAGCTTCCACAGAAAGAAGTTACATTTGAAGAGAAAACAGTGAAAGGACCTTGTGTAATTCCCCAAATGAACCACTCCTGTCAGCTCTCAGGAGAGTGGGGAACAGTCTCCTAGGAGTCCCTTAAAATGGCTCTCTCCCCATCCCCAAGAAAAAAAAATAGGAAAAAAAGAAAGAACAGAATTCAAAGCAACTTCTCACAAACACCAAAAAGCATAAAGTTGGACATTTCCAAAGCAGAGGGCGGTGGCTGGCCTTTTCCAGCACATTCTTTTTCCAGAACCTTCTGGGCCTGGGTGGGGATGGTGGGGCTACACAGCCAGCATCTTGCCAGATGAGCACCCCCACCCAACCATAGCCATCTTGACACACTCCATCTTAAAATCCAAGCCCATAGAGGGACTTCCCTCTGCCCCTCCGCCCGCCCACCCAGCCAGCCAGCCTTCCACTCACCCACCCAGCCAGTCACATATCCAGTGACATTCACTCACTACCTGTCCCATGTACACCATGATAGGCAGTAGGGATTTAGGATAGCAAACAAGATAAAGACCCTGTTCTCAAACTGCTGGAAGGAGACAGGCAATAAAGGGAAGCAATCGACAAATAAGATGATCGGAGCTGGTGCTAAGTGCTCTGAAGGAAGTGAACAGGGTGAGGTGACAGAGCACCTCGGGGCAGGCCTCTGTGAGGGAGGTCATTTAGGTGGGATAAGATGAGGATGCCTGGGGGTAATGTTCAAAAGGGAACCACAAGCAGCAAGACTTTGCGGCAGGAATGAGCTGGAGGAACTTCAGAGGCCCAGGTGACTGGAGGTGACCAGGAGGAGGAGGAGAGGAGGGAGGGCCGTGGGGTAATAGTCCCCATGTACCTGCGTGTGTGTGAGGACTATCAAGGGTAACTCTAGTGGTGCATGACTTCCGCCTGCGATAGTATTCCAGTCTGGGGAATGGGGACAAGGCTGGGATGGGGCTGGAGACCAGGATCAAGAACCAAATTCATGCTGTTCACCATGATTAATTAACCCAGAGCCAGAGCCCCAAAGGCACAGTGCTAAAAATACCTGCTTCCCTCTGAGATGCGGCAGCTGCCGCCCAGCAACTCTTACCCATTGCCATTTGTCATAATTTGACACTGATAAGGAGTGTCCATGGGGCTGTGTGTCTGCAAGAATTGGACTCATCCACAGCTCACCAGCCAGCTGGCCCTCAGAAACCAGCCACGGCACTTTCCTACCTGAACTCTTCTCCCATCCCTGAGCCCTGCCTTGGCCACCCCTGGAGGTACCTGCCACCTGCCCACTGCCTGCCAGGTTTGCCTCTCCTCCTGGAGCCCAAGTGGACCCACCTCCAGGGTGGGAGCCAACGCATTCTCCAGGACAGGAGTGCATAGTCGGATGCCATGTTTCATGCCACTGCAACCCTGCAACTCGGACTGGAGCCATCTATCAGAGGCCCTGCCAGTCCAGGGCAGCACTTTAATTAAAATATGTAAAACATCCTGGTGGGGTGGATCTGAAGACACAGGAGCAGTCCTTGGACCCAAGCAGCTTGGTAGAGCTGGCCCTTCTTCAGCCCCAGAGGCCAGCACTGTGCCAGGAGGGCCCTCCAAAGCAGGCTGGAGCATAGTGACATCTGCCTTGCACCATGTACCCATGCCACCCGCCACAAAACTTAGCTGGGGCAGAGCATCCACATGAAAGAGTCCTGGGCCAGCTCTGGGACCTGGAGAGCATGCTGAAAGGGCCTGGCGTCATCCCAGTTGAAATATTCTATCTCTACTCTCAATGCTAATTTTCTTCAATGATCCACATGAAGCTGGTACCTGGACATTTACATACATAAACTCTTTAGCAAAGCCATTTCCTTTTCCCAGACTATTGAGCTCCCCAAGTTTACTCTTCTTTCAGACTGCCTTCCATGTTGACAGGAAGCATGGTCTACACTGTTTAGGGCAGGGGTGGGCAAGCTATTTCGCACAAAGTTCAAATCAGAAAAAATTGTAAGCCAACATTTTTAATCCTAACACTTTCTTAAAATCAGAAAATGCAATTGTTTTAAGCCTCTTTTGCCCCATCATTGAAGGAATTTGTGATTTTTACTGAAATGTCAGAACCTGCACAGTTACAGCCTGCCTCTGGAGTTAAGGCCTGTGACATATTTTCTGAGCAGTAACATAGACTGCAGGGAGTGTTGGGAGGTTTAGGGAGGCAAATGGGATCCTGAGCCTAGCCAGAGAGCAGGGCCCAAAAAGAACCTCAGCGGGAGCTCCTATTCTGGGGTAGTAGTGAGTGGCAGGGTACCATTTGGAGTAAGTCTCTGAGTCTCTGGGCAGAGAAGACAGAAGTAGCAGGAAGGGCAATGGGGGCCACAAGTGGTGTGAATGGCTGGTTCTCCTTGTCACTCACAGCCCTCCCCGGGAGAGCAGGGCAAGGAAGACCTTCCCTCCACCCTAGCTCTAAGATAAGCCCAAGCTAGACAAGCAACCTCTCCCTCTGGCCCACACCCCACTAATCAGGGACAACTTGCTCAGCACAGAGCCAGAGTCACTGCCTGTGTGTCAGGGTGTCAAGCTGAATTATGTGAACTTAAAAACAAAATCCCCTCCTTCCTGGGTTACTTAACTGTCTGCCTGGCGAGGACAGGGGATTACTGGTGACAGACACCAGGGCCTGTCTGGCTGCTCCAGACAGAGAAGCTTTGATCACCTGGAAAACTCCAGACACAGGACTCCTAATGATGAGTAATGAGCTCAAAGCATCGGAAAGTTACCCAGCAGGGTGTGGTGGAGACACACACTGCTTCCCACGGAAGCCTGGGAAACCTGGGCCAGGGGGACAGGGTGTGGCCATCTAGTGTCCTGGGGAAGAGTTTGACCCCACTCTCACCCTGCCCCAGGTCCTACCTGCACACTGATAAGGTGGGGCAGTTTCTAGGCTCCGGCTACTTGGCCTGTTACAAGGGTTGGTTTGGTGTCTAGCGGCCAGAATTTATCTTTTAGTCAAGAGTGCAGCCTCCTCATTCATTCACCTATTCAATCATGTATTTAACACACATATATTCAACAGCTAAGCTGAGCCAGACGTGGTGCTAGACGCTCTGGGTAGAAGATGGCCATGACGGTGTTTACTGTCCTAAGAGAACTTGGAATCGACATGGAGACATCTTAGCAAGTCAGTATCACAGGCTCTGTGATGAATGGTCTGACAGAGCTGGCTTCAGGGCTCCAACCAGAGCAGGGGACCCTAAATCAGAGTGGTCCTTCTCATGGTGAGGACAAGGGCAGGCTGGGGATGGAATCTGAAGTCCCAGGCCCCTCTAGGCTTGAGGTCTAATTTGATCCTGTGAGAGTCCCCATTCTCAAGTCACACCACATCCCTTCATCTGGGATTTCATCCTGCTCTGAGCTTAGATGGGAATATGTCAACCCTGAGTCCCCTGTTTTTGGCTAGATAGAAACTTAAGCCCAGTGATTCTCAAAGTTTTGCATACATTATAATCAGCTTGACAGAGTGCCAAAAATCATTGTTAAGGTCTGGATTTCACCCTCAAGAGATTCTAATTCACGTCTTGGGAGACTGGAGTTAGAGTAACCAACCTTCTTGATTTGCTCTGAACTAAAAGGACTCCTGGGATGCAAGACGTTCAGTTTTAAAACCTGGACAGTCCTGGGAAAGCTGAGACAAGTCACTCTACTTGGGGCAGACACGGTTAGTCTTTGCCTAAGAACATTCCTTTCTTCCTTGGGTCTTGGAATCCTATTTTGATTGTGCAGTAACATGCCCCAGGTGGTAAACGTGGATGCATTTGGCAATTCCCTTCCCTGTCATTATTGTGTTATTTAAGATGGCCTGTGACCCACTTCACACCAATAAGTTGTAAAGGGAAGACTTATAGAAAGGTATTACACTGATGTAAAAGAGTGAGACCAAACAGAGAGGGAGAGAGAGAAAGTGTCTGCCCATTCTTCTGCCTTCAACATAGTTGTATGAGAGCATGATCGTCAGAACAGTGGCAGCCGTTCTATGGTCATGTGGCAACAAACTGAGGATGGAAAATTCAGCTTTACTAAGGATGAACAATTAGATATCATTTTTTTGTAACGTCACTGAGTCACTATACCAAATCTCAAATTATCTACCTCCAATCTAACTAATATGTGATTAAATCTTTCTTGCTCAAACAACTGGTGTTCTTTTGATTACAGCTGAACACAGCACAACTGTTACAAAGGGCCTAGAACTTGGTATTTTTAACAAGATCCCCAAATTCGTTCTGATGCTCTCCATCCACCTATCTAGCTAATGCAGTGGTCCTCAAACAGGGGGCTTTGGACCAACAGCAATCAGAATCACCTGGGAACTTGTTAGCGTGCAAGCTCTCAGGGCCCATCCAGACCTTCTGAATCAGCCACTCTGGGAGGTAGGGAGGGCCTGGAAGTCTGTTTTAACAAGCCCTCCAGATGATACTGACAACTGCTGAAGTTTAAGAGTGATTGAGCTAATCAATACCCGAGACTCCTTGACTAATACCAGACCCCAAAAACTTCTAGATGAAACTTTAAAACTTAACCAGTATCACACCTGCTTCCTCTTATTGCTTGAAAAGTGAAGCAATATGTTGTCTAATTTTCTGTGATTTTTGTCCTTCCTTCATGGTCCCTTCCCCACATAATCATGCCTTAGCTGAATGCTGTGGTCAGATTTACTGGCCTGTGTTATTAAACAGCTGTGTGTGTTAGAGGAGGAAGGGAGGTCAGGTCATGGTCAGGACCGGCCCGAACAGGAGTGAGGCCAGGCAGTTAAGGAGGAAGAGTGGGTGTCAAGGTCCCAGACCCTGCAGTCCTCGGGGAGCACCTGCACCCTCCATGAATGCCCACATCAGACTCCACATTGCACGGCCGCCAACCTGGGAGGACAGGGGTAGGGGAGGTCCAGGCCGCCGCACCTTCTCTTCCTTCCCCAGGGAAGCTCTGCTCCAGCAGGCCTTTTATAGTCTAGTTAACCCCTACTTCTCGCCATAATGAGTTACCTAAAACCCCAGCGAGAGTCCAACAGGCAGAAACTGAACAACAGACGACATTGCAAGGGGGATCTATTCTCAGCTAAAAAAGAAATTACAAAACCCCTAATTACACTTCCCTTTAGAAAACTTCGTTCAGTATTTCTCGTACGCCCCTGAATTTTGTTATTCTCCTTCACAACCGACTACACTGTCAAATGATCATCCAGTAAGCATTACATTATTCATAGTTATTTACTAAAAAATAACAATAATAATTCCTACCATTAATTTAGTGCTTTCTGCATGCCAAGCCCTGGGGCTTCACATGCACCGTCCCCCTGAGGCTGAGCCACCAGCACAGAGATGCCTCCCAAGTGTCGTCTTTGTTCATGTGACTGCTAAAGTGCACGAACTCTTGTCCATCTTCCACTCAAATAAGGCCAAAATGCCATAAAATATTTAAACACTTGCACCACTGTCTTGCTAATGGGTTTCAGCACCGGGCAAGTTTGCTGTGGATTCAGTGTGACCACAGGAATCAACAGCAAAACGTTCTTGGGGTGAAAAGGTTTATTACCCAGCGTGTTCTCCAGCGGTAGGTGGAGCACTAGAGTCTCTGCCTCCGTCCAAAGCCCTGGGCCGAGCTCTCTATATAGCGCAGTAACAGCTTATTGCCTACAGGTGTGGAAGCGGCAGCCCAGCAACAGGCCAGTTACATCATCATCAGGCCGTTTAAGTTCAGTGAGGATCCTGGCCATAGGAACCCCAACTTCCCCACAACCACTCACAGCATGGCAGCCTTGCCCACACTGACCCATTGGCCGGCAGCCCCCAGGAGGGCTGAGAGTGTGTTCGTCCAGCCGCCGAGTTTCTAAAGACGGAAGCCAGCACACAGAAGGTGTCCCGGGATTTTGAAGTGTGCTGTCGGAAAGTGAGGGTTGTGCCAGAGTCCTGCCTGCCTTGTCGCCCTCCAGCCAGGGGGTCCCTGTGTCTCTGGCTCTCACTCCCACTGGTCTCCTTGTTGGGCTCATCTCTCAGAGCCACCCCCTGCTGCCAGCCAACCCCCGTTTCCCGGCTGTCAGCAGCCAGGGGAGCTTACCTGGAAAAGCACGGCTTCACCGGTTTTCAGGTCCTGCTCACGCTCGCCTCTCGTGGGTGGTTACTGGCCTGATACTCCCTCACATGCTCTTGTGATTCACACTCTTCTCAGCTATAAGCATTTGGTCATTATTACAGGTGAGGCTCAGACACCAAGTGGTCCCTCTCGGTAGGACAATGACATGGGTTGCTGCAAAGGACAAGATAGTTGAGGTAACAATAAAGTCAGAAAAGGCCATAAGCAGAAAGAAACACTTAAGGCTCTCTGATGATCCTCATAGTAGGAGAAACTGGAAAGTGAACATGGGCAGCTAAGCAAAGCTGACCCAGCACCTGCCAAGCGTGAGGTGGCAGCCAGGTCATCAGAGTGGGTGAGCCTTGGAGAGCCTAGTAACTGCTGGGGTCACCAGCTGGTGGAGCAGGCTGTCTCCTCCCACACCCTGACTCTGTCGACTGACAGCCATGTAGATGCCCACCTCACACAACACCCCTTTCCTCCTGGTTTCTATTGTGGGGCAGCTCAGCAGCTCCCGGACAGCCACGAAAATACTCTGCCATACAGCTGGTAGGCCCCAGCCACCCTATGCCCATCCAGGTTAAAGGAGGGCTTACAGGCCTGGTTTTTAAAGCCTGCTTGGTTTGATTCATGGCACTTGGGTTGGGGAGGAATCAAAATGATCTGACAGGTTGGGCATGACAGATCAGCAGAGGTTGGCCAGGGCTTCGGAGGGAAGTGCTTCTGAGACACAGTGTTCTGAGGGCAATTAAAAGCCTGATGTGTGGGCAAGGTGCTCACTGAGAAACCCCGATGGGCCAGGGCACTTGCCAAAGCCCAGGAACAGGCCTCCAGGGTGCCTGGGCCTCCCCAGCAGCCCCCAACACACCGTCAGAGTGGGAAAGCCTTCAGGAATCCATCAACTTTTGCAGGATGCACCATCCTATCTGAGCAGCTCCCTTTTCTTCCTCTGTTCTTGCCAGAGGAGGGCACAGTTCACATCAAATGTCATTAATCATCTTCCCAGGGGTTGGGGGCTTATTGGACAGTCCTATTAATCAGAGGCCTATCACACCCACAGCCCGGCTGGGTCGCCATTGTCCTGTTCCTCACCTATCATAGAAAGATTAGATTATCAGTGACAACTGAGACACCCTTTGAGTCACAGGGAAGCCAGAGAATGGGGTTGCTTTTATTTTTTTATTTACCCTCCTGATTTGAGGATGAGCTGTTTCTTGTCTTGTCACACTGCATCCTTTTCTTCAAAGAATCAGCTTCAAGAATCCAATTTGTCAAACTGGACAATCATTGGCAAATCCATTAAAAAAAAATTGTTAAAAAATCCCCAAACCTCAGCGACTTTATCAAAAGAAGTAAAATAAAGCAGAAGGTTTTAAATGGAGCCTGAAAGGATTAGAAAATATGTTGCATTTGACAACAATTAATCTCTGAAAAGCAGGGGCTTTGTAAAAAGGAACAGGCAGAGATGTGTCCAAAGGGATGCTGGGGATCCACACCACAGTCCGCCCGTTACCTAGGCACCATCGCTCTTCTGGAGGGCAGTCAGGTGCAAACCTGGTGCTGCAAAGGAATGAAAAGGAACGTCCCACAAGCTCTGTCCTAACTTCCTGCTGACCAGTGCACAAACCGAGAACCAGGGCACAGCAGGGAAAGTACACAGCTCCCCACTTCTGGTTCTACAGCGATCTCAGTCACTCCACAAGCACTAAGCCCACCCGTGGTTGCCACTGTAGGGGGCCCTAAAATAAGAGGGTGCCAGAGGCCAGGTGAGCACGTATAACAGGTAAATCAAGGCAGACCAGGCAGGGCCTTGGTGATGTGGAGCCCACGGGCTACACACCCCAGGTGCCTTCAGGGGCCAAGAAGAACTGGGAATCAGGGATGGGGGCTGAGTGCAAATGCAGGGGTTGGAGGCAAGGACCCCTGCGAAAGAAGAGCAGGCCTGTCCAAAGGGCAGCAAGACCCTGTCCCCTACTCACTGTTGCCCCATAGGTAGGAGGGGAAGTCAAAGTGTATCAGATCTTCCAGCTTTTCATGAGATTCTGGAGACCTTTTTTTTGTGAACACTCCCTATTTTAAGTGTTGGCAGTTTATTCAAGAAGAAAATCCCTGTGCATACTAAGCAAAACCCATTGGTGGTTGCAGTTTGGCCCCCATAGCTGGCATGTGTGAAGCTGCCTCAGTGCAGAGAAGGACCGTGACGCCCAGGGAGGGTGCTAACTGCAGAGGTCACACAGCTGGGTAGAAGCAGAGCCGGTTGGATGGCCTGGTCCTTCAGACTCCCAGACCAAGGCTGTCTGCTCCAGACCTGAATATATGAAGATGTATATGACCAGTTAGCGGGTGCATTTATTTCAGAGCAATAAAAGTGATTAGAATTAAGAGGAGAGCCTAGATCCCACATCTTCACCTTGAAATCAGAAGGGGCAGAATCAGACAAGTCTCAAGTGACTGTTCCTGTACCTTTGATACCTCATTCATTGCATTTTTCTACCTGACAGGCTAGCTGTAAGTGATTCCCATGTGGGTGCTCTGGAGGTCTGGGGCAGGAGGCCAGAGGGGGCCGTGAGCTCTGTGTTGGGTGTATTATTCACTTGACTTCAGCAAAAAAGTGGAGCTTGGGAGCCAAACTGCCCAGTTAAAATCCTGGTCCTGCTATTTATTTAGCTGCGTGACCTGGGGCAAATTACTCGACTTTTCCAAGTCTCAGTTTCCTTGCTTTCAAAATAGGAATGATAATAAAATCTACCTCAGAAGACTATTGTGAGGATTAGAAGTGGCATAGAACAGAACACCACACGGCAAGTGCTCAATAAATTGCCATTGCTAAAATATATAATCACACTTTATCTCATCCTGAATAGTGCCTGGTATTGAGACACAGCGTAGGAAGTTGGCTCTCCAAAGGAATCTTGGAAGTTTGATTGTCTAGTTTTTCTTAGGAACAAAAACTGAGGTACACAGATGGGAATGAGTTTCTTTACTGCCAAAGGCACATACAAAAATCTAAGCTTTCCTACAGACATGATTCACTTTGACCACTTCCACAGGTCTGTGCCAACCATTTTATTTTTCTACTATGACCTCATTGGAAATAAGAAAAGTTTCTACGATAAATGGGTTTAAGCAAAGCCTTCAGGCTCCCAGATACTTCACCAGCGTCAGCACAGTCAACAACATATAATGTCTCCATTCCTGTGCTCCTGTGCTCATTACAGAAAGATTTGTGAGACAACTTGGGGCTGTATTTGTCCACTGCGAGTTTGTGACCAGCTTCATTTTTAAAAAGGATTATTCCCCCGGGTGGTGTGCAATCACCAGGGAGAGGGTGAGCCTCAACATTGTCTTGGTGTTTGGGGAAAAACACTGTGACGCTGCAGTCAAGCTAGCTGATGATTTGTGAAAATTGAACACATGTTAGCTATTGACAAAACTTGACAGGTATCATGTCTGCCTTTATCACGTGATTGATTTAAGACTGTTGGAAGTGCTAGTGTGGAGAGAAAGGCCGAGGTTTGGGGAGTAGAAGGCTAGATGGATTTGGGACAGGTCTTGACTCCTTACTTCGTTCTAAGGCTGTGGGCTAGTTTCTTAAATGTTGAGTCTCTAGTCCTTCGTGTGTGAAATGAGAAAAATTAAACTTACTTCGTAGGCTCTGTGAGAATTAAACAGAAAATGTATGCACTCAGGGGCTGTGAACTCCCTTCCCTCTCCTGCATTCCCTTGAGAGAAACAGAGCCTCTGCTCACAGGAAGCTGAGGCAGACAGCCTCTCGCTGAGGGAGCCAGTGGAGACCCTTGTTAAGTGCTGGGAGGAATCAGCTCAGGGCCAAACTCAGGTTAATGTCAAAAGAGGGGAGAAAACAATGAGCAAATTCATCCTTTATACTTCTGTTCAGGCTTCTGATCTAAAGGCCAATTGCTGACTTCTTTAAATAAGAGTTTACACCTTCCTCGGAGCTGATCTGAGATCCCAAGTTGGAGATCTGGCTGAGTTTCGGCTTAGGCTTGCAATCTTCCATTCATTGGCTTTTCTGCAACCTTCATCATCCAGAAGCAATCTTCAGAAAGGAAGGAGCGTGGGGTGCCTCCCTAGGTGCTGGCCCTCAGAGGACATTCCAGAGGGCACATACCAAGCAACCCAGGGAGACCTTGGCCCATTCTTCCTGCTCTGGATGAGTTCCTACCACTAATCAAGGAGCACAAAGATAAGTGATTTCACAGCCAAGTAGGAATCAAGAGAGGACTGGCCTGGAGGTAATCATAACAGCCAATATTTATTGAGCATTTACTATGAGCTAAGCTTTACACCAGCATCTCATTCAATCCTCACGCAGGAGGTAGTAACAATTATTATCATAGCTGAGAACACTGAGAACTTAGGCCTGTTGCCCAAAGCCACGTGGCTCCCTTAGGGCAGAGCCCAGATGTGAAATCGTGATGCCCAACTCTTACCTGCTGGCCACAGGGCTTCTCCAAATGCACCTGATTCCTTCAGTGCCCAGTAGGGGTGTCCCAGGAGCCATGCCTGCACCTAGTCCTCTTAGGGAAAAATGTACCTTCCCCCTTGTAAAGACACGCACATAAGCAGAAGACTCTGCATCCACTTGGGGCTCCTTCTCCACACACTGGGATGCCAGAGGTCACCTGGGCCTGAGTTCCAGCCCTGTAATACTAACACAGGCATCCAGAAGTGCAAAGGGAATTCCTGGTACCCCACCTGACCTGGGGAAGGGGCTGTGGCCTCCTCTGCCTCCACCAGGCCTGCACAGATCTGCCCCCTGCTGGGCTGTTAGAGCCAAGGAGAGATTTGTTCATCTCCCAACCTTGTGTGCTGTGTCCTCGCCTTCCCTGTCCTTATAAAGGCTCTTCCCTAACGTGCTATTTAGGTTTGGGGCCAAGAAGAAAGGAAAAGCGGAATGGCTGAGGCCCAAAATAAGTGTACTAGCAACGAGGAGAGAAACTCTGGGCTCACAGAACCACATGAAGAATCTGTAAGCCTTTAGTCTCCTGAAATTGTGGCGCTTTCCGCTGCACGCTTAATACAAGCTGACAGCTTGCATTGTTCTGCCAAGACAAGGTAGCTGAGTCCGGGTGATGGGGTGAGGGGAGAGGAGGGACAAAGGCAGGGAGCTGAGGAGGGGGCGGAGGCAGGGGGGGAAATAAAGAGAGGGGGCCGGCGGGGGGTGGCTCTTAATCGGAGGCCTGGCAGGAGACCCTGGGAACAGC